GCTAAGAATCTAGAATAACTTTCAGAGAAATCCCAATAAAAGCAGATGCCCTGCAGCTTTACCTTTCCATGAAATTCTGCATACAGTTTAGCACAAGAACAGGGGAAACTACTGTGCAGAAAATGATGCCCCATGAAGAAACCTTTCAGGATAACAAGGCCTAAGGAAGAGTGTGGTTGCCTCATGGAAACTTTTTTGCTGAAAGCATTGCTTTTACTTGCTGGAATTGCAGACTATAGGCAAGATTCACACAAATATGCCAGTGTGACTTTGCTGAGTTCTGGAAGGATCAGGCATGTTCCCCTAGAATGATCCTGTGACGGAACTGCTCGAATTCCTACAGATTTATTCTGCACTAAGTGCCTTTACAATAGACTTATTATTTTCATAACGCTTATATATTCTCATTCTATTGCTGATGATACATAACCTGTAATAATTATATCCTGATTACCTTTTGTGTGTGTTTTTTTCCATTAAGAAAAGCAATAACCATCTTTTGTTCCCATTGCAAATGCTTCTGCTGCAGAAATTGCTTGATAATAAAGCCAAGTCTAAAAACTGTTAATATTCTTGTGGTGTGTAGAAATTGTAGTGGGGATGTCCAAACACATTTCCCCTTCCCTCTTTCCCCCCTGGCGACTCCCAGGGGGAGGGCCTTCTCGGTGGGAGCTCCCACCCTCTGGAATGAACTACCTCCAGAGATCCGGGTGATCCCGGATCTCCCTTCCTTCCGCCGCGCCCTTAAGACATGGCTATTTCAACAAGCAGGACTGGCCTAGGGGGAGATTTTTAGCGGGGTTTTAAAAACAATTTTAAATTGACACAGGCCAAATCCAATATTTCATTTTAATTATGTTTTTAAATTGGGGTATTTTTGTATCTGTTTTTTATCAGGCTGTCAGCCGCCCTGAGTCCGTAAGGAGAAGGGCGGGGTAAAAATTCAATTAAATTAAAAAAAAAAAAAATTGTCTTCTTGTTTTTAATGTAGGCCTGCACTTCCTACAGGGAACAGAATGGCAAAAGGTTTTTCTCTAGTCTAAAGATATGAGGGTGACCTGGTTACAAAATCTGTTGCCCCTCTGACTGATGGGTTTAATTTGGCTAGCTAAGCAAATGTCCTCTTACACTTCTAGGTGTTTCCACCAGAAGGAGGACAATCTCCATAGAAGTGGCAAAAAACACCTATAAATAAACAAATGTTTATATAAAGGTACAAAACTCATGTGAGAAACCTTTGTCCAGATCAAAACATCCATTTTGCCCTTAAAAACAAATTTTCTCCCACCATGAAAAAAAAAGAAAAGGATATGATTTTTCATCTCTTTCTAGTGATGTTGCCTTGCCATCAGGCAACTTTCAAGGGTAAAATCAGTAATTATAAAAAATGTCCTACCCCCCCCCCCAAAAAAAAAGTTGATTGCCAGCTGTGCTTTTCTGATAGAACCTTCAGTGTGGACTTCAGTGGCTTCTGCTGAATAATAGCTATTATTTATTATATTAATTAAATTTATATCAATGTCTTCCAGGTATAGAACTGATGAGCTCACAAAAGTATATATTTCACTCTTTACTGAAGTAGCACCTAAGCTGGTATCTGTAATGGCTTCTCACACAGCTCCAACAACATGACCATCTGCTGCATTGATTGGAATATTGGCCAAATGTTGCCAAGATGCACATTCAGATCCCCATCATTTCTTTAGATCAGGGGTTCCCATACCCCGGTCCGTGGACCAGTACCGGTCCATGGCATGCCAGCAACCAGTCCGCACAAACAAGCCCCATTCGTGGGATGCAGGAAGCACACAAAACCACACATTCTGCAGTCCATGGAAAAACTTCCTCCATGGAACCAGTCCCTGGTGCCCAAAAGGTTGGGGATCTCTGCTTTAGATGAATTGTGCAAGCCCCTAGTTTTCAAGATCATTTCTGGTAAGGATTAGGTTATTTGAAAGAAATGGAGGAACAGACAACAAATAAATCTGTATCACACAGAACAGACCATAGCTAGATATAACATAGGATCCATTCTTTCTTCAGTTACACTCTCTCCGATTACACTTTTCTCCTATGTACAAGTGAATTTGTCAAACTTTGCCCATGCTTACAGCTTGGCTTTGATTTACTTGATATGGGAAAGAACTTGAAAAAATCATGAGCAAATGGCTCCCATCAAACCTAATTAATGAATTAATCTAAAATGTATGTGTGTTGTTGGGCTGTAGTTTCCCCAACATTTTCTAATATGAAAAGGCTCTTCATTCTCTAATAATAAGAAATTTTTAAAAATAAAATGTTAACCTTACTGAAGACCTGAATGTAGGCAAACAATGTCACTAATGTCTTTGTATTCTATTTAAAATTCCCTTGGCTATAAATAAAAATGAGATAGGGCTGAGAAAAGTAATATTACTGGTAACATTATTATCGCCTGTCCTTTATCCTTCAATGAGAACTAATCAGAGTAATAACAATAGTTAAATGACAGCAACAAACTGCTAAACTGAGTGATATGGAAGCCAGTGGTGTAGCTAAATTTCTATGGAGATTCTCAGTCATCCAGTTCATGGTTGTCCCAAAGGTGCTTTTTCAGGAGGCAACTGGACTTTCTTGTTTTTCTTTGAAGACATTTCGCTTCTCGTTCAAGAAGCTTCATCAGTTCTGACTGGATGGTGGGGAATCATTTTGTGATGTATCATTTTCAACACATGTATTCAATATAAACTTGGTTAGTGTTTCCTTTATCATAAATTGAAATAATGATGCATGGACCCAGCCAATTTAACAAAATATAATTAAGCAGAACATTATTCAGTATATTGTGTAAACCCAGCCATAATACACAGCAATAATAGGGAAGAAAAAATAAATACCCTATGGTTATTAAAATGAGTGATTAGAAAGAAATAAGTTACATAATGGAAACAATTTGCAAACAAAAAGGAACAAAATAAAACTTTATTGTGTAATTAGGGCACTTGATTTGATTATTGAAAAATTATATGGATACAGTTTAAATAATTTCCCAGATTAAAATTTGGTACACAAGGCTAGCAACAGATGCCAACATTTGTGTCAAGGAAAATTAACTTTTATAAGAAAAATCTTTTTTTTTGCTATTAAAAGGACTGTCAATACATGCTATGGTACTGTATTTGATTGTTTTTATGGCCTGTGAATATAAAATTATTTGATGTGTGATCATGGCATCGGACCTGGATATCTCCGAGACCGCCTTCTGCCGCAGGTTACCTCCCATCGGCCGGTACGCTCCCACAGAGTGGGTCTCCTCAGGGTGCCGTCAGCCAGACAGTGCCGGCTGGCAACCCCCAGGGGGAGGGCCTTCTCGGTGGGAGCCCCCACCCTCTGGAACGAACTACCCCCAGAGATCCGGGTGATCC